TAAACCCTTATCCGCTAGTATGTTAAAATTTGCAATTTGTTTCGATAAATTAGAGCAATTCTTCATGACCGCTAAATGAAGGTAAGCGGAAATACACAACGGATACAAAATACAGACGGAAATACACAATTCTATTAAGTTTATCTCTGGGCCTAGACCCCTAACGTCCAGGACATTATTTTTCAGGACCTTTGGTTGCTTTCATCCTTGTCCGGTTCCTGGGAAAGACTTTCACTAAAGGAGGTTATACCACCACGTCAGCACCACAGTTGGGGCCGAGTTAAGAACATTTATGATTATGATGCCCGGAATGGCACTCAGACCTAAAAAATTGAATATATTATTGTTTATCTCCAGTTGTAAAAACAATTTTGAAAACTTTAGCGGGACGGGCCGGCTACCTCCCTCTCTTTAATCTGTCACTGGATACAATATTATATATGACTATATCCTAACTGTTTCCTGATCCTGCAGTCCAGTGGCGGCTATGATTTCCTAGACGGCAGGGCAACGCCCCCTTGGGTCGTGGGTGGGTAGGGTTTGCGAGGGGGTATTCTTCCTGCCCAATGAGAACATGTTTAAAATGATAAGCTACTTGACGCTCATATAGGGCATCTTGACCTAAGGATGGTGTTTTTTGTGTTTATCTCATGGGCGTCCACACATTAATTTATAAAGACCTATCCAATTTAGGCCAACATTTGAAATAAACGTTTTAAAATATGTTTTGTTTTTAATCCCCCGACGAATCCCTTCTAATTGCACCGACAGGGTGGAGACAAAGCCTCACCGACTGGAGAGGGTGGGGAGGGGCTTTAGATATTCTAGCCCCCACAGACTCATAGCACCGCCACTGCTACAGTCAAGTCAGAGGATTGTATGTATCAACAAAGCTATCTTGGGTCAGGGTGCTAGATTGAGAATCCTAATGGTAGGAGAAATATGGGGCCCCTAAAAGTTGAGCGTCATGTAAACAGGCACACGAGAGCGCATAAGCTTTGCGCCAATGGTCCAAAATCAGCATAATTGCTAGATGATCAAATCCAAAATTCTCTGAAACCAATGACAAAAATTGCAAGTGGCAATCACCGTTGATTCAACGTCAGTGTAATCGTGTATGGTTCTTTTTTTTTTTTTTTTTGTAACAAGTTAACGGCGCTTTCATTATGACCCTGTTGTCTTCCTAAACTTTTGATTTGTTAAAAATAAATGGCATGACGGCGCTTTAATTATGATTACGCCGCTTTAATTTTGATTACGGCGTTTTTATTATGATTACGGCGCTTTCATTGACTACGGCGCTTTTATTACGATCACGGCGCTTTTTTTTTTGTAAATTCAACAGAAACGTATGTTGCCACTTACAGAATTGAAACAGAATTATAAATATCTATATATATATATATACATATATATATACATATATATATATAATAATAATAATAATAATAATAAAATATTAACACTTAATTATTTTTTAGACAGTAATAGGCCTACAGTGAGTTTTGAATGTGGAATAACTGTTGAAGAAAATGTCAATATTGCAATCAGATTAACTTAAAGAATTATATAAATAGGCAATTTACAGACGGTTCTACTAAAGAATTTCTCAGATAATCGCCGCACTGAAGCCTCCAAGCGCGTTATAAGCGCCGCGGCGCTTATCCGAGCATTTACGGTACTTACTTGACAAAACAAGACTAATGCATAGCGATGAAATAAAAAAAAAAAAAACCGCAGTTCAACATTTTCAGCATTTCGGTTGTTAGGTTTTTACATTTACGAATTTTGATTTTGAGGCTCCTTTGACACAAATGTGTTATTAAGAGTGAAGCAGTTTTGCAAGAATTTAAAAGAACACATTAATGTAACCGCTGGGAAAATTGGTGGCGCTGTAATATCAGTGTATTTGACCAATCATAATTGTGACGGATAATGAATATGCCAATATTCATGTTATTAATGACATGTAAAAGAAAACGTATCAACTTCTTGTGAGTCCACACCGGTGTATAATCTATCCCTTGCATATAGTAATTTTCCTTGCCTCGATACAATTTTAAGGCTTACCCACGTTCGTGGAACTTCTGCCATAACTGGCTATACATATTAATCTAGACATATTCATGCGGGCTGTGCAATCAGGTTACATAATGGCTTTTTTCAATATAATCAATATATTTATGTACTACTGGTATTTAATGGCGAGTTGAAAAATATTGAGATATGTTTGTGGGATTAAGAAAATTGTATAGAAAAGTGCCCATTGATAAGGAGAAAATCACTACATGGTAATAATGTACAATCTAACCGTTTTATGTCGGTACCGGCGCTGCACTTTGGCTGCCGCGGGCCAAACCAAAATGTTACATTTTCAGATTTAATTAGAAATAAACAATAAATATATTTATAAATTAAATTATGAAAAAATATAGACATATGTAGGCCTATAAATCATTGCCTATGGAACCAAATATTCGGTCTGTAACTCAGTTACAAGACAATTAATTTGCATTTAAACCTTACGTAACTCAAAACAACCAACTCTTTAGTTCAATTGGCAAAGAGCGGCTCGCGTTCTATACACATACTATGACGTAATGTTACTTAAAGTCTTTCTACCCAATTAAAAAATTAAATAGCTCATTTAAAACGATCAAAACCAGTGGAAGTATAGAAAAAATAGTTTTCACTGATTTACAGACGGTTCTACAAAAAAATTCTTAAATTTTTCCAGCCAATGAGTCATGCAAAGGAATACAGCAAGTACGATCACTGTCTGTAAATTGACTGCATTCTTTTTCTTATAACAAATAGTAATTGTAAATTGTAAGTTAACAACTGTGTCCGAAGTACACGTAATCTGTCTCCGAGAATTTCTAAACGTTTATATCCTTCAGAATCCGTACTTACTTTAGGGGACATACAATTGCTACAAACAACACATGTCATATCTAGGCATATAACTTAACTGTACTTTATAGCCAGATTCAATTTTACTGTACTTTTTTTTATACATTTTGAGAGAACATGCTATACATAAACAGCATAATCAATTAATGTTCACACTTTCTTAACTGCCAAGGCCTATGTAAGAGATTTTGGCATACGCCGTAGTATTCATCCACGCATAAACCCTGCAGCTTCCTTGATACACCACTGAACTATGTTTCACCATTCACAAGGGGGCGGTCGGGCATGCATATTTATGTGTATCAGTTCACAAAAGTGACCTAAAATAGCGCTCTTTATAACTGCCTTAACTGTGTGAAAAAAAAACACACACAAAAAAAACCATCATAATTTCCCAGCCAATAGAGCACCTAGGCCTACAAATACCTGAAATGCACGTTACGTTCACCGTCCTTGTATGCAGGTCAAACAGTTAATATTTATAAAAACTGAAACTCTAGATGCACTGTTTGATTGATATTTTAAAATAGAATATGGACTCTTAGTCATCGCGCGTATTTGCAAAGTATAAAAAATAACATTTTTCGCGAAGTACATTCGTCATTTCTGCATAAAATTTAGGCAGTATGGCATGACGTTGGGAGATCACTATAAGAACGCGATGCCGGGAGTAGATGTGTACTTACACAATAGCGAGCATGGGCAAAACAGTTTAATTATCGTAATTAGTTGTAACTTGTTTATCAGTTGATTATGTAATAAAACAAAAAACGGCGGTACCGCGGGTTATAACTTTTGATGTTCGGTTTGAGATGTTTCCATGTAATTTCACTGCTTCCTGTTTTACATTATAAATAATATTTACATGCTCTTCAAATTTTAAATAACTATCAACAAGTACAATGACAATAACAAATGACAAAAACTTTATTTCTTATTCGACCTCTTTCGGTGTATGAGAGAACATTCTTTCTCATGTGAACATAGAAAATAATCGGTCAGCTTACACTGCAGGACTAATAAAGTTAACAACATTAATAATAAGGCTAAGTAAAAACAATATTATAACCAAACAAACACGATATCTTGTGAATATATTGAGCAAGTTTCGACAGTTTTTTTTGATCTGGTATTAAATAATCGGTGCATTTTATTTTGGTTAGGTCTAATGTAATAATATACTTTAAAACATCCTTAGTGTAGGGCAAACGAATAAAAAATGGAATTATCTCCGGTATCATTTCGATTACACAGAGTACAATTTGTAGCGTGATCATCACACCTACAAAGGTCAGTTTCTTTTTTTTTTTTATCTGATAATGTTATTAATGATTGTTCAAATACGAGATCACACTTAAAGTATTTATAATTTTCACACATTCTATGTGTTAACTTCGTGCATCCAATCCTGTTTTGAGACAACAATCAATCGGTTAATACTATTTGCTATCAACTTTTTATGCAAATTATCATAATCATTCCACATTTGGGGCATGCCACATTTGTTAAGAGTGTTTTTTTTAAATTTTATTTATATTTTTATTTTACTATTCCGTTTTCACAGGTGTAAACCCTGGTCGTGAAATTTCTTTACAATCTGAACATAATGTTTGACCGTTTACTTTTTTACCATCAATGACACGCATCTAAAAAGTTAACATTCTATTCTCTACTATTAGTTCGATATCTCCCCGCCCCACTTTACCCAGAACCATCATGCAATCTAAAAAAAAACATCTCGATCAGATCTACATGTAGTTTTTGGAATCCCCAGACTTCACAACCATATACTAATGTAGGCAAAACAAGCTGGTCAAACAGTTCACACTGAATACCTAATGGTAGACTTAATTGTTTAGCTTTAGTTAACACGCTGCACATTGCTCTTTTTGCCTGTGTTACTTGCTTATCAATGGCTTTTTAAAATTTTCCATTTAAAATTACATGTTGTAGGCCTACCTAAATAGACATACTCATCTACAATATCAATTTGTTCATCTCCAAACATTAAAATTGGAGTATTCGAACGCTATCTCTGGTATAATTATAAATTTTATTTTTTTTTTCACTCGTATTTACTGTGAGCTTCCACATGTCGCAGTAATCACATTTAATACTTTCTGGAGTTCTGAGTGACTTTCGGACATAATAATTGTATCATCTGCATACAATTACACATATAGTCTGAGGAACACTTCTACATCATCATCACTTAAGACATTATTAAATTCATTAGCTAAGTGATCCAAACTTTTATAATAACGACTAACAAAAAAAATCGAAGTCATTAAGATAAATAGCAAATAAAAGCGGAGATAAATTTTTCCTCGGTGCACTCCAACATTACAGAGAAAAATTCGGATATCACACAAATCTGTTTGACACATAACTTCGTGTTAGCAGACAAATTATAAAAGACATTAATGACTTTACCATTTATACCACATAATATTAGTTTAATCTATAGAGATAATCGGTCAACCAAGTTGTAATCGATGAAAGTGCAATACAACCGCTTATGTTTCTTTAAGTATAATTCAAGTATGGAACGGAGTACAAACATATTATCATTAGTGGAGTAAATGTCCCTAAATACTACTTGCTCTTCACCAAGTATACCTACACCAACATTATATTCTATTGTTTACACTTTGGACATTTCCGGAATGTCACCCAATCTTACCAACTGACCAATTAGGGCCAGGAATACGAACGTGCTTACAAACACGACGTTGTCCAATAAACGCACGTGTTTTTGCATGTTTCATGTTGTCGTTTTGTTGAACCTTAGCCACGATATTTAAGTGCCGGAGCATAGCATTCTAATCTATGATGTGTTATGTTTTGCAAAATAATTCTATTTTCACGATTATATTAAACTAAATCACATTTTCAATTTACAAAAAACTTCAATTAAATCTACATTGAAATACATTCATTCAAACCGTTAGTATGTTGAATAAAATACATATTACTAAGAATAAAATTATCCATTTATCGCTTTAATGCATATATAAATAGCATTATATAAAAAAGTAGGCCTATAAATTAATAGAAGAGGGCATATGTATACTTTATATTGCCCACAATTAACAAGAAAATTTCAAAATTTCAAATTACAGTACAAATAAATTAGTTTACACCATCGCCAATTAGTGAGGGAGGAAGAGCACAGTGAACAATAGATTTGATTATACAGTTTCCAGCACAAAATCTGCTCACAAAATTGTGTATATATTTTATCCAGTCTTCATAGCATGAAGGGATGTTATTGAATAAAGTTACAGACTCCAACATTAAATAAATATTAGTAGTTCTTTTTTAATGACCCAAAGGTAATTATGACTAAGTATTTCTGATAGAGCCTCACTAAAGTAATTTATATAGTCATAGAGGAACCGTTTATGCAATAATTATGTCCTAAACATTTAATTTCTGCGGAACACTTTGAATATGTCCTACATAAAGCGTTAGCTCTGACTAAGAAAGTCCTATACTTTTGCTTAATACCAAAATCATCCAGTACAAATTACAAACACGAACCAATTTATGAGTTCCAATAAAAACAATGAACGAATTTGTGCTAAAATTACTACACACACAGTTTTATTTAGTCAAGACTTCATCGGTGTTTGAAGAATGATGATTGTTGTAACAAATACAAAGCATGCATTATCTAAGAAATTTAATAAACATTTCTGGAATGATCAAAGTTAGCGACTGACTAATAAGAACAAGGCAGATATACGTATATCCATGAACACGCGTACGTTTAAATCTTTCAAATCCTAGCAACAATATCCGAGGGAAAGGCCAATTTTAACCATTATACTGAAAGGCAACAAAATAGTCATTGTTACTGCAGGTATAAATGTGGCATTCTCCATCGTATTTGAAATACTTGCATCCTAGCGCCCTCATGCATTTCACAGCGCATCTAATGCAACTTCTTTTCGAGTTTTTGGTCGTTACAGAACATTGTGGATTGCGACGAAAAGACTTGTAATAAGTGGAGCGTCCACCCAACTCTGAGCACATTGGACCTACACAAAACAAATTTAGAGTGGTATAGTAAATACAATTAGGCCTAGTTATACTATAAGACTGTCTTCTTTATATCGATTTTTTACACTAATTCGTAACGTCTGATTACCAAAACAAGCTGTGATTCAGACAAAAGAAAATTGAATATATTGTAATAAATGTTTAAGACATATTAACATTTGAATAATACTTTTGCATTTTAATAATTCATTAGTGTTCATAATCAATAATTTCAACATCATTACCGTAAATTATAATCACAATATAATGCCATAGTTGTCATTAAGGCCTGTTTATACTTGCAATGATAACGATCAAGTGCTAAAAAGTAATTGTTCATAGAAAACAAAAGAAATAAGAGAGTCTTTACACTAGGACGATTCGATAACGATTTATCGTGTATATAATAACAAAATATTATGACAAATGTTGAAATGGCGCCATAATTATAGAAAGACGATAAAACCGAAGTAGTAACGACGATTTTATCGTTTTTTCATGAATATGACATTTTTTGAATTGGTTTGTTAAAATGTGTTGTTATCGCATACACAATAATTCGTTATAAAATCGTGCCAGTGTAAATACTTCTCTTATTTCCTGTATTATGTATATTTATGAACAATTTAATACTTTTAGCTTTTATTGTTTTCTATGGAAATATAAACAAGCATTTATTATCACTATCATTGTCATTACCATTATTACTACTCAATTTTTAATTTAAATCTAATTGGTATATTATTTTTATTTACCTGCTGAGCATCCAAGAACCTCAAATCGTAAACTTATATAGCCATGCCAGACGAATTGGGTGTAGACAGGGCCAGGGAATATGTTTGTCACGTTAGTGTCTTGATCTGAATTTCCAACAAACCTCTATAAATATCACATAATCTTATAATTAACATTACGTTCTCAGCACGTTTTTTCGAGTATAACCAGAGGTGTAACTACCTGTGGTTCAGCATGCGCTTCGGTGAACGGGGCCCCATGGTTTAGGGTTCCCATGGTCGAAGGCCCTAACCCATAAAAATGAAATAGTATAAAACAAAATCATCGGACCAACTAAATAAAAAATATATAAATGATGATAACAGGCCTTATATAAAACTGTATGTTTCCAGTCAGTTGAATGAATACGAACGAATTGCGCGAAGAAAGGTCCAGAGAAAACGTTTTTTTCAACAAAATTTTATAAATATCACATAATCTAAAGATCAACAATAAGTTCTAAACACATACAAGATACAAGAAACTTTATTTGTCTTCATATATAAAGAAATTTTGGAATATAAGGTATTTCATAAAACTTGTATTAAGACAACTTGCAAAAAAAAAAAAACCCCACCAAAAAAAAAAACAAAAAACAGAATGAACAAAATATAGGCCTAAAACATTATATACGGTACTGTACAAAAGAAAACAAAAAACAAATATAAATTTCACAATTTTTTTTTTGTTAATTTTTAAATTTAAATTTTTCGTATATTACTATATTCGTATATGACATACAGGTGATTACTCTTAATAAAAAAGAAAAAAAATCTATGTAAATATATTGGGAAAAAATGTAATGTCACTTACAGTTACTTGACAATATGAATTCCTGATTGGTTGAAACAGGTTACCATCGGAACTGTAAAAAATCTCATAAGACGTCACCCATTGTAAGTACCTGTATTGTAAGTTGTCGTTCCGGCCTTGTGTGATTACTCCTTGTACCTTATGCAGTTTACCGAGGTCAACTTGGATCCATTGGTTTTGGTCAAGGGTTCCTGACGACCATGCTCCTTGTTCAAGACCAGTTACTTCAGTGTTCAGTCGTCCACGATGTGCAGCATGCGTAGAAGAATTTTCACTTGATGCGGATAGCTGTTCAGCGGGAATAGTCCCATCTTCAATACCAAGAGGATCGATACACATAATATCTGAGATAGAATATTACAATTATAGTTATGACACATTCAGTGACAATTTTTGATATTAAAAAAAAAATTATACAGTATAAATTGAAATAAATTGAAAGAAAATTTTATAAGCTAATATATGGTGTAATTTGAATTTTATACAAACTGTATATTATGATTCTTCACATGATACCCTGATTTCCGTTAACTGCTCTGCATATTAATCTGAATCTTTATTTTATTAAATTGATTTTTAGTTTCTACAGGCCTTAGAGTTTCTGTGAGAACATTCCATTTTGGACGTTGACGGTCTTTCTTCAATTAATACTGTTGTTTACAATTTAAAAGTTAATCAAAGTCTTTGTATATTTTATTTGATTATGATTATGAAAAATTAATAAATGTTACTCTACTTGTAATATACAATGAAATATTGAAAACCACACCATTATTTTTTGCTCTATGCTTTTAAATACGATTTGTTTTAAACAACATAAACGCTACGCGTATCTGTGGATAAAAGAAAACGATGAAAAATAACTGTTTTTTTCGGGTTTTTGCCTCTAAAAATTCTTATAGTAATTTAAAAAAGTTATACAGTATAAGCTACAAGTAGGTGTTATGAAAAATCAGCAGATACACGAATGCTTTACAACGTAAACTATTGCTTTTTGCCGTATTATTTTACAAGGGCTCTAACACCGCATATACCGTAATCAATCATTTAATTCATATAAATTATACGACGACTCAACATTTTATTGGCTTTAAAAATATCTAAAATTAGTTTGATTTGACAAAAGTTCTGACCGGCTCGTCCTTTTTTTGTTGAACTGTTCAATCCTGATGGAATTGTTGGGAGTCCTATAGTTTTAACAGGACTCGAGCCATTGTTTTGCTAGTGTTCTGTCCGAATAATTGTAATTATCAGTTCTGATGGTTTACAAATTAGAAATATTTTTCTTTAAACTTCAAATTGTTTTCAACGAGTTCACCAAGATCCTTTCTATATTAAAGTTTTCTTTTTTTTCGGAAACTTATTTTCTTGTACAATTTCATTTTACGTTTACGTTTTTCCAATATACAAAATCCTTTTACCAATATACTGTTGAATTTATATTCAATTTAATTAATTCATATTGCTAAGATTGAAAATATAAACACGATCCGCTTTATGGCTTCAATTACATATTATAATGAACGAATTTTTATTATAATTACTACACACATTATTCAAGTACTCATTGGTTTTGTTTGCTGGAAAAAAATACAGAGGACACATAATCTAATTTTAATAATTGACATTTCTTGGATGATCAAGCTGAGCAACGAACCAATCAAAACAGGGCACAACAAATGCGCATGCCCGACAAACACACTAAGGTTTACACTTGATGAGACCTTAGCAACAATATCCAAGGGACATAGTGGAAAGGCTCATTCATTCCAAACAAACTTAAGCTATCAACATTTCCACTGTTGCTGCAAGTAATATAGAGGGACTCTCCACCATATTTAAAACACTTGTATTCTACCGCCATCATACACTCCACAGCGCATCTAATGCAGCTTCCTGACGAGTTTTGTTCGTTATTGAACACTTTGGAATCTGACAAAAAGTCCAACATATTGTTAGCATTCTAGGCTTACGCAAAGGAGGGTTAATAAAATTACATTATAATAAATGTTGTTTTTTAATTTTTTCAAGATGTGTATAAGAGACTTACTGTATTTACCTTTCTTTGATGATTTATATATAATTTAACAGTGTTAACGGCTATCTTGATTTATATTGTATGTACCTATATTGTTTCTAGCCGTTCCTATTGTGTAATGGAGTGTATCTGGTGGTATTTGAATCTGTTCAACCATGAAGCCTCCGTGGTCTAATGGTTATGACTCTCGCCTTCACAGCGAGAGGTCGCAGGTTCGAGGCCAGAGGCATTTTATTACACAATTTCATTATTACACAACTATATGATATTTTTCGCAGTTGTTATCAAATGTACTGAGTATTCGGTGGATTTCCTCGTCAGGTAGGGCAAAATTTCACCTATACAGAGGCATTTTATTACACAATTTCTTTATTCATTTATTTACAGGACTACATTCGTTGAGAGCTATGCTACACAATGTATTATTATGTCCTTTATTCGAACACTGTAGTTACCTTTCTTTGATGATTTATATATATATATATATAATTTAACAGTGTTAACGGCTTTCTTGATTTATTTTATATGCCACTATTTGTTTCTAGCCGTACCTATTGTGTAATGGAGTGTATCTGGTGGTATTTGAATCTGTTCAAACATGAAGCCTCCGTGGTCTAATGGTTATGACGCTCGCCTTCACAGCGAGAGGTTGCAGGTTCGAGTCCCGCCAGAGGCATTTTATTACACAATGTCTTTATTCATTTATTTGCAGGACTACATTTGTTGAGAGCTATGCTACACGATGTATTATTATGTCCTTTATTCAAACACTGTATTTACCTTTCTTTGATGATTTATATATATATATTTATAGGATATAAATAGAACATAAACCTAAAATATGCCTAGGCGCCAATTACAAATTAAATGATCAAAGGAGCGAGCTTTGATAGCCCTGTTCACTGGATGATATACATTGACAAACCAGCAATAGTGCAGATTTTTTTGGGAAGTGAACCCTATTCGTTCGCTACTTTTTTTAGAGCACTAAACTAGTATATCCAATGGCACAACATTCTACTGTAGATACCCATTTGTAGTTGACTTTTTGATATATGTAAGTTCAACGTTTTCAACCATCTGGCTGCCTGTTGCAGATTTTTACCGAAATAAATAAATAAATTTATACTCCTGTTATCGGTACTTTTACTTCTAATTCCGGTTCCAAGTCTCAATGTATAGTATAGTACAGTAATCAATACTCCTGCAGCAAAACTTCAGCCTCAGAAATACTGAAATGGTGTCTGGCGACGGATAGTATTATGAATTACTTCAGCAAAATGTATAAATGAAATAAAATAAAACATTTTACTTTCATAAGCTTCGGGAATCATTTTTGCAGTACTTTTTTTTTCGATATGTTTCAAAGTTTTAATAACATACCGTTCTCGCGCGAATAAGCGCCCGGGCGCTTAAAATATTTTTTAAACTTTCTGAGGGGCGCTTATTCAAACTGGGTGCTTATTTAAACGGGGCGCTTATGAAAAACAGAGTAGAAATTGAGGGGGCGTTTATGGAAATAGATGAAAATCGAAGGGTTCTTATGGGAAATTATTCAATTCAATTCAAGAGGCACTTTTTGAATGAAAAAAGATTATATAAGGACATTACAAATGGTGGTTAGAAAAGATAATCGTCCAGAGGACATGGCTCATGACAAGAATGCGTGAATATTTACATAACAGCAAAATACCGTAGCAGATGCAATTAGTATTGGTGAGTAGTGGTTAGCTTGTTAGCCATCGGCCGATTGAGATTAGCAGGATGGCAGGATCATTGTATTTTTTATTTGAAAACTCAGAGTAGGAATAGGCAGACAAATAGGCCTATGTAAAAAGAGTAAAGTTGGAAATATACTGTCTGTCCAGGGATCGGAGCTCTCATCTGTCCAAGAGAAATATCCTCATTTTGACATTGACCTAAGAATAATGTGTTTCCACTCTGCAGCTCAATTATGCCAACAACAGCAGTGGTGAGTGTTTGATGAGAAAGAAAAAAAAACATTCATTTTTTTTTATTATTAACGTTCCTCATGTGATATTGATCTGAAATTTTATTTTATCCTTTAATTATAACTTTAGTGTAGATTTTAAGTAAAGTTGCAGCTATAATATCGGCGTTGGTTCGAACAGCACGCTCGACTATGTCTCTGGAGGTTTAGCCGTAGGCAGAGTGTACATAATTGGCTAATGTGCACTATAAAGAACCCAGTACATCTTTCGAGGTAGGTGTGTGGGGGGGTGTACCCCGGTGTACTGGAATATCTCACAGCTCCTGCATTCATCTAGTACGAAAATACACGGTATTTCATAAAACATGTAAAAGACAACTTGCAAACAAGAGAATCACAAAATATGAAACATTATATTCTGTGCAAAAGAAAACGAAAAATAACTATAATTTCTGAAATATTTTTTAATTTTTAAATTTTTTTTTCGGATATTATTTGGATATAATATTATACAGGTGATTATTCTCAATAAAAAAGAAAAAAAAAAGTATATGTAAATATATTGGGAAATATTGTAATGAAACTTACAGTTACTTGACAATCTGAATTCCTGATTGGTTGAAACAGGTTACCATCGACACTGTAAAAAATTTCATAAGACGTCACCCATTCTAAGCAGCATTTGTTGCGGCCTTGTGTGATTACTCCATGTACCTTATGCAGTTTGCCGAGGTCAACTTGAATCCACTGGTATTGGTCTTTGGTTTTTGTACACCATGCTCCTGCTCCCAATCTATCTTCTTTAGTGTTCAGTCGTCCACGTTGTACCCTACTCCAAAAAGAATATTCACTTGAAGCGGATAGCTGTTCATCGGGAATAGTCCCATCTTCAACACCAAAAGGATCGATACACAACTCTGAGATAGAATTATTACAATTATAGTTATGACCATTTGGTGACAATTTTCGATATTTAAAAAATGGTGTAATTTGAATTTTATACAAACTGTATATTATGATTCTTCACATGATACACTTTTCCCGTTAACTACACCGCATATTAATCTGAATTTATATTTTATTAAATTTATATTTAGTTTCCAAGATTTTTGGGACTCCTATAGTTTTAACATGACTCAAGCCATTGTTTTGCTAGTCTTATGCCCGAATAATTGTAATTACCAGATCTGATGGTTTACAAATTAGAAATATTTATCTTTAAACTTTAAATTGTTTTGAACGAGTTCACCGAGATCTGAAGCTTATATTTCTCTACAAAATGATTTCATTTTACGTTTACGTTTTTCCAATATACAAAATCCTTTTACCAATATACTGTTGAATTTATATTCAATTTCATTAATTAATATTAGTATGATTGAAATTACGCGATATATATATATATA